TTCTATGCTAAATTTTACATATTCACTGGGTTTTATTTTAGCGCATTCTCCAGTCAGCAAAATAAGCAAAATTAAAACCCAGTGAAAATTAGTCATTTTACAGTACTCAACGCAAACGTTTGTATAGTACTTGTCGCAGTAACATGACCTTTTGCTAAGTGGGGGTGGGGGGGGTGAATGCATAATTCGTGATCTGTGTTAAAGTGAAAATCCATTCTCTCACGATTTTATGCTGTTGCCATGGTCACCCCATTCTCTCGCTTAGCTCATGGATTGGGGTTTACATTTTAGTGGTACATTATAGCAATACCAAAATAGTAAAAAGTATTTGCTTTTTATTATCATAAAAGGGATGATCCTATTGGTTTTGTAGACGGGAGTTAAATATTACAGAGTGCATGTGAATTGTTAGTCCAATAGGCAGTATTAAAATACGACTTGAGAGACTCCTCCCCAATATGCCGTGAACTTGAAAATTGCAGTGATATTTGCTTGAAACTGTAAATAATGAAAGATGTATATTGGATAACAAAATGTGAAATATTTGTTGAGAAATTCAAGGCGTTCTGGTATGACTGGAATGTTCACAGCTGTGACAGCTGCACCCCTTGTGTCAATTGCCTGTAGATGAATGAATCTCTGCCATGAGCAGATTTCCTAACCATCATATGCCAGATAAATAAGTTAAATTGTGATATTCCATGAAATTCATTCATAAAATATTAATGCAAGAAAATGTGTTTTCAGAGGAAACCTATTACATTGTAAGGTCAAATTTATTGGCGGTATACTGTTGTGTGTATCCCGTCCTGAGAAAACTTTGTCCATATTTCAACAAATGAAATGCATCTATCATATAGATACCCCTTAGTTTAATGAAAAATAGCGTGTTTTAAAAGGTTAATGCACTTTAATTGAAAATAGACTAATTTTAAGATTAGCATGCAAACAAACAAATCTCCCACTTCTCCTAGAATGATTTGCATTTAAATGTTATTATGTTAACATACTAGATACACACTGTATACGAAATGCATTTCAATGTGCAGTTGAGTTGAACGATTGTAGTGAAGGGTCATAAGGCAGTAATTTGCAATTATGCCAATTTACATACATCCTGGGCATTGGATGGGTTCAAGAGGTAACTGAACAAAAACACGTAATATAGTGGTATGGTAAAAGCAGAAGTGAATGTGAATACTAGTAGTGGATTTTATAAATAGATATACAATTACTGAATATTGATATTCTACCAGCAACTTAGGAAGATGAACACTGGCAGGAACAATGTGTGAACAAATAAATGTGAATTGAATGGTATGAGAGCTACGCGTGCCATACTGCATGTGATTTGAATAAGCGTGTACAGATCCTGATTCTTTAGAATAATTTTTTGAAAAGTCTGATGAATCAAAAAAAAAAATATTTGGTTGGGTGAAGACATTTTAATTTAATACTTCAATGCCACTTCTTAATTTTGGAGAGCAATCAAAATCAAACAATGGAGTGCACCATGGTTCGTCACGTTCAAATAATGGCGTGACCTCAATATACAAATTGGCGATATTCAGTTCACAGTCTGGTACTTCCAACGTAAAAACTCTACAATACTAGAAGTATCGAAATTGCCACCATATAGTGACAACTCGAATCACGGGGTCCTCAAAATTACGACGACGAAGTGCTTGGTCGTAGGACTGAACTATTATTTATTCATGAGGTGGCCCTAAGCATGGAACTAACTTATTCGCATTTGAGAGTATACTAACAAGTGATAAAATGATATAACCATGGTTACAAAATGAAGAGCTAGAACAATTCTGTTTTTCTTTCCGCTCATTTGACGTTTTCATCGGTAACCACATGTAATAAAGTGTCAGATTGACTTTTTTAATACAAACAGGATTAACGTTTATTTGTATATAAAGCTGTCAGCATCTATTCTACGTGATTGATCTACTAATTTATCTAATTGATTGATGTCATTCTTACTATAAGTTTACTGTACTCAGTTTATTATCTTATTTACATATGGGTCAGAGGTATTGAAAATCAATAAACTACTATTATTAATGTTTACGTAGTACGGAATAAAAACGCGTGGACAGGTACATAGCTTGTAGATCAAACAAAATAAATATCTGGATTCTTGAAGCATACTTCTTATATATCGTGTGACCTATTTAATCAGCACCAAGGGTCGGGTGCGCGTTTTTTTCATTCTGCCCATTCCTTTCATGCACGCAGCTTTACCTGGGGTGTCCAACGAACCCCGCCCATCACTTGCCAATGCGTAAACTGCTGCTAAACCAAACACTTGAAGCGGGGGAGTCGTCACCTGTACATGCGTCAGATGGCCATAGCGTGTCATTGTTTACCCATGAACTGAAATAAATCCTTGAAAATTATCCTACCTTAAGTTTTTGCCGATTTCTTCTGAACTCATTTCATCGATAATCCTGTCGGCAACGGTGGGATCCGCATCACTCAAAGCGGCCTTAACTGCATCGTTTTCACTCTATTGGATGACGGAAATGTAAAATGATATACGCGTATAAAGAGTTGTTATGGTTATTCGTATACAAAAGCAGATCGACATATTTCTTTGCAATAAACCTCCCTTGAACACCATGATTTTGCTGACAAACGCTAAAAATAAACTAAAACTTTAGACTTATGTGTGACATTGAAAAAGATCATGGAAAATTTTGAAAAATTAGATATATCTTCATGTTGATAGTGATTTATGCCGAAAAATGTCACTCATGGTACGGCCTGGTAAATGTCTAAATATGACAAGCATGCCGAGCTGCAATAACAAACAAAGCACTCCAATAGTTTCCTTGGAGCAAAATACATGCTATGCCGTGACCTTCTTGTAAAATGTATTTATGACAAGAGGAATTTTACAGTGTTTGCAGTTGTTGTAATTGCCTAGTCGCATACCGGTGTGATTATACATGAACAGAAAAGCGTCGCGTTAGGCCCGTATACGTACGTCCTTGTATGGAGGGGTGCGGGCAATTAGTCAATTAACAACCAATGATACTCGTATGATGGACAAGCAATACATATCTGTTAATTGTAGTGCCGCATTTCTCATTGAACTGGTAAAAGTTATAGTCATTTGGACAATAATTATTTTCTGCGCGCATTCCTTATGCGTCAGAGGTGCCGTACGCTATGTATGCTAACACGTACACCTACCTACCTGTAAGCCGATGAAATATCCAATAATTATACCCACAGAAAACAACGCTATGGTAATAAGTAAAACAATCGCAACAAATATGTTGCGGGATGCCCTAGGTTTTGTAGACATTGTCGATGTTCGGTTTCAGGTATCGATGTTCCGACCAGATTTAGCCTATGAATGAATGCTTCGTGTCCGTTACTACTATTATTATTATGCATGAACCGAAAGTCATACGGACCAATCACCATTCGTGTGGCGTCAAGGACCATAAAGTCTGATAAAGTACCTTGTTTTGGGGAAATGTATCGAGTTGTTGTGTGCTCAACATAGAAGAAATTCTTTGCTATAAAGCGTTATAACGTGCATCTTAGCAAGTCAGGGTTCAACCGGTCACACCTTTATAAGACCAATAAAAAAACGTTATAAAACGTTTTAAAAAATCAGCGTGACTGAAAGGTTAAGTTGTTAACGAATTGGCTTCACGCACAAAACTCGACGCACACTACCCGGCTTTACACATTTCGACGTACGTTCAGATGGAGACAGTCTTTATACGATTCAGATATCGCAACAGTGTGTCGCACACTGCTAAAACTGAACACACTAGTATGAAATTCCGGCGCGCATGCAGCATGTCCGGTGGGGGAGAGGCTCCCCTTTATAATAGCGCCATAGTCGCGTTGCATTTTGGGATACAGAGGTAACAGCAGTTTGAAGGACGCGCCCATTGCGCCAACTCTAAGTCCGCCACATATGATTTTCATTTAATTTGTTCCTCGTCCTCTATCATTTCTTCCAGCATGCAACGAACGAAATTCCGTTTACTTAGGATCACACTGCTATACTTTTTGTTTTCTAAATCGCCATTGTTGTGCAGCGACTTCGGCAGTGAGGAGTAATACCTGTAATTTTGTAGTCTGTTCGCTCCACATAACGGGGGGGGGGGTAATCATATGTGGTCACGTGATCTCAAACCCAATCATGTAATCGTGTGATCTCAAATTGTGTTTTGTTTCTTCAAAGTTAGTCACACCCGGTTTATTTCTAATTTACGATGTAACATAATCTATCTAGTACTCCGAGAACTGACCGATCTAGACGTATAACAACCCAGTTTGGTTTCTTACAGCATGAACGATATATGTCAATAACAATAATTAATTAAAAAAATAATTGCATCTACGTTCCGAATCTTTAGTTAACCTTTTCACCGCCAAACTTTCTCTCCCAAATTGTTCTGCACTTTTGTTCTTATATTCTTCAATATTTTAGTGATTAACCCTAATTTTGGAGTCAACAGACAACATTTGAGTAAATTTTCAGTTTTTACTCCAAAAAATTGGCTATTGTTGTTCCAACCTTATGAAAGAAAATGCAGACTGTGACTATTTTATGAATTTATGCTGAAAAGAGGAACTAGTGGTGAAAACAGTTTCGAGGGTTTATTCACATTCCATTTCAACGTGACACACTATACTAGTAAGTTAGTGATGTAATTATCTGCAAACTGGTGTCCAGGTGTTTTAATTTATATAGTTATATTATTTACACCATACAGCTAGTTACTAGCTATACTATACTAAGTATATAGAGATGATGAATTGAGTAACCTTATATACAGTATATAATATTGAATGAGTAAATATATTACAGTTGATATATACATACATACCAACAATTATATATAAGTGTTTAACATTAAGGTACTCCTCCCAATTGCTCACAAAACGCGTCTAGATTATTACAAAATATTGCAATACATGGTACGACCCTGGGTGGTAGATGAAGCCCAAAATAAAGTTGTATTCCCACTTTGTATTATATGCCGAATATCTTCACGAGATTATTGTAATCACAATAAAATGTGATAAAATCAGTTGCTGTGGCAACAAATCCTGAAATATTGGAGAAATAAATGGGATGGACAGAAGGATAAGTTTCTATGTTTAAAAGTTAGTGAGTTCTGTGAAACGTATAAAAATAAAAGAACACATGAAATTGCAAATTAAAAGCGACCCTCCTCGGTTTTCAAATGATCAACTTTAGTCTGTTTCAATGGAACATGTACGACAAGTTTCCTGACCAGAAAAGTTGTACCCACAATGCACTGCTTACCAAACAATGCACGTCATTTATCCAACTAGTTAGGACGAAACAGACAATATTGCCATGGACATCATAACTGTGACGTAGCGCTAAAACAAAAACCGTTGAGGGTATTGGCGATATATGAACGCCTTTTCCCGCCACAATGTTTGATTTATTGCGTTAGTGACAGTGTGTAACCTGCTGACAGGTCACGGGATATGCAAATATGTACTTAGTTCGAGACAGCTGATGAATTGAACAGCCCGAGTACGCCACGCCTCTCAACTCCTTTGGCCTGGAATCTGGAATTGTGCTTGATCAACAAATATATGCGTGGATTCCTGCTACTAATTGCATGTGCTAATTATGTTGTTATGCACTGGGTTCACAATTATAAATGTCTAGTGGAAATCAAGATATATATATATATCACATCACGGTCTCTTATTTACTAAATATAGCAAGTCCACAAGTACACACAATAACAGCTACATACACATACGGTTCGTGAAAGCATGGAGCTCTATTGAGAATGAAACCTACCTGACCTAGGCCAATAAAATAACCAATAACGATACCTAACACGAACAACACTATGACGACAATAATCACGACGGCTAGAATCAGTCGCCAGTTAGCTGCAGCTTTACTGGCTCTTTTCATACTCTGTGCCTTCTCCATAGCGGCGATTCTTAGACAAAGTTTGGATCCAGGCAAAACTGCGAAGCTTGGTGTTTACCAAGCCCCAAGGTTCGCTTTTATTACGTATGACTGAACACACCAATCGCAGACCTGCTGCTGGATGTATTACAATAACAATGCCTGTTCATTGACTCAGGCTGGGAGTTCCGTTGTTCGTATTGTTCGCATTACTACAACCCTCGCCCTTATATAGTCTTCTGTGTATCTGAGAACACACAAAATCACGCGAGAGTACAGCTATTATCCGACAACAGATAGCGCATACCATAGACCACAGTCCCTCTAGACTGTGCATAGACTGACTTTACAGGGCTCTGAGCGGAAATGACAGGACGGTATGAGCGACTGGGACAAACGTCCAATTCTTTGAATTACATTACAGTGCATCATGGACGTGCTACGTGTTAGTAAGTCCATGAGTGTATGGTTTCCGTTTATTTAAATATTTGACTTACTCTATAGACTAAGTGTTTAATCACAGTCCCTCTAGGGA